TGTCTAGACTTGGCCATTTTAAAGCCTTATTAAAGGTGAATGTAGCCTTATCTTTCGTTTCAGCCAGCGTCCTTTTCAACTATAACCTAGTACCTACCATAATTTATTTTGGCTCTATCTCTCACGTGTAAGTAAAGATTGTACTGAGGTGGAGGTAGTAATATGGAGTAATTTCCATGGGCTGCCTTATAAAAAAAATACTACTAGTAAAGTATATATACAGACCTTAAGTGTGTGGTCGTGAAGAGTTAATAGCGCTGCACCTTTAAGGTGAAAGGGAAACCTATCTCAGCCTGGGCATTTTTTAGCCGCAAACCGCAAACCGAACCGAACCGCACCGAACCGCATTTTTTTCGGTTTTCGGTTGTCAGTTCGGTTTCTGTTTTTGTGCTATTCGGTGTACGGCTTCGGCTTCGGTTTTATAGAGAAACCGAACCGAACAACCGATTAAACCGACATATCCCGCGGCGGCGGTTTTATAGAGAAACCGAACCGAACAACCGATTAAACCGACATATCCCGCGGCGGCGCAGCCCACGGCCCACCAGTTCGCAGCCCATCAGGCCATCAAGGGCAAGGCCAACCCTACGCCACGCCCCCGACTCGTCAGTCGTCACGCCCCCGACTCGTCACTCGGCGCAGCCGCTAGCCCGGCCGCCAGCCGCGCAGGGTGCCGCCGCAGCGCTGCCGCTGCCCTACCTCGCCATCGCGGGCTCGAGGCGGCACGCCGCACGGCCGCAGCGCCACACTCCCCTCCCCTGAGCAGCAGCTGTAGGCCCCGGCGAGCCGCCCGCGAGCACACCGCCCCCTGCGCCCAAAGACCCAAACCCTAACTCGGCGGCCGGCAAACGGGCTGCTGGCGGCGGGCCGGCAACACCCTCGTGGAGTTCTCCGACCAAGACAACGGCGGCGCGGACCGAGCAGTCCTCCTATGTAAGTTCTTCACTTCTTGTTCGTTTGTTCTAGTTGAGTCCATGTTGAGTGAATGAGTGTTGTATTGCTGTTCTATGTTGGTAAGTTCTGATTTAGTGATTTGAAACATTTGATCTAGATGGGGGACACAGATGAAACTGTTGCTTGTGAGATTAATCACACTCAATCTCAAGACACTGAAACCGGAGTGTCAACTACTGGAGTGGTAGATGCAAGCGAGGACAAGGAGGAGGAGCAGCAGTCCAAGGATAGAGAGAAAGCTGATGAAGAATCCAGAAAAAGAAAACCAATGGCTCTAAGATCTGATGTATGGGAAAGTTTCAGCAAGGTCAAACTTGCTAATGGGGACGAGAGGGCCAAGTGCAAGTGGTGTACCAAGCTATTTCATTGCGGCTCAAGAACAAATGGTACGTCATCCTTGAAAGCTCATCTGAAGATTTGCAAAAAGAATCCTAACAAACCAGTAGTTGATAATCAAGGAACTTTGCAACTGACACCATGTGATGACAATAGTACTCTTGGTACTGTGACCACTTGGAAATTTGATCCAGATAAACTTAGAAGGTGTTTTGCTGAGATGATAATTGAAGATGAACAACCATTTGTCCTATCTGAGCGTTCTGGTCTTAGGAAATTTATGACTTTAGCATGTCCACGATTTGTTCTGCCATCTAGAAGAACAATCACTAGAGCTTGTGTTAAAGTATATGAAGATGAGAAAGAAAAGCTTAAGAAATTTTTTAAGGACAATTGTGTAAGAGTTTGCCTCACAACTGATACATGGACTGCTAAGAACAGCCAAAACTTCATGTGTGTTACAGCCCATTTCATTGACAATGAGTGGAACCTACAGAAGAAAATTATTGGTTTTTTTTTTGGTTAAGGGACATAGAGGGGAGGACATTAGAAAATCATTAGAGAACTGCTTGGCTGAGTGGGGCATTGACAAGGTTTTTACAATAACAGTAGACAATGCTAGTGCAAACAATAATGCAATTAAGTATATGAGAAGGGTCTTGAATGAGTCAAAAGGTTGTGTTGCTGAAGGAGAGTACATTCATATGCGCTGTGCTGCTCATATTATCAACCTAATAGTAGGTGATGGCTTGAAGGAAATTGGTACATCAATTCAACGTGTCCGTGCTGCTGTTAAGTTTATCAGATGTGGAACATCTAGGTTGGTAAAATTTAAGAAATGTGCTGAGTTAGCCAAGGTACAGAGCAAAGCATTTCTAAACTTAGATATTTGCACTAGATGGAACTCAACCTATCTTATGTTAAATGCTGCAGAGAAGTACCAAAAAGCATTTGAAAGATATAGTGATGAAGACCCATACTACAAATTAGAATTAGAAGGAGAGAATGGTCCAGGGGTACCAACAAGAGCAGATTGGGAGAAGGCTAGGAAGATGACTGATTTTCTTGAACACTTTTATGACCTCACTCTCCGTGTTTCTGTACAAAGTCGTACAACATCTCACACTTATTTCCATGAGATTGCTGATGTATTACTTCTGTTGAGAGAATGGTCTCATAGTGAAGACAAGTTGAGCAAGGAAATGGGTACAAGAATGCTAATGAAGTACTACAAGTATTGGGGAGAGAAGTATGGTGAGAGGCAGGGGGACAGAGAGAAGAGAGGAGAGAAAGATAAGGGGGATCAACTACTCAACTTCACTGTCTTCTTCTGTGTTGCTATTGATCCTAGATACAAACTATCAAATTGCATTAGAATGGGAATTAAGGTGATGTTTGGGGATACAGTAGGAGAAAAAGTATGGGAAACAGTGAATACCTATTTTCGTGCTTTGTTTGAAGAGTACAAGGAAATGTATACCCCAAAAGATAAGGCACCACAACCTACTGAATCTGAATCTACAGCTGAAACCAGCAAAAGAGTGAGTTGTAGGTGGATGTCAGTAATTACTCAGCAACTTAACAGTGAGGGTGGAAGTGGAACTATCAAATCTGAGGTAGACAAGTATCTATCAGAAGATAATGAGCCGGACACACCAAAATTTGACATTCTAAAGTGGTGGAAGGCCAATTCAACAAGATTCCCAATATTATCTCATTTGGCCCGTGATCTTTTGGCAATTCCTATCACCTCAGTTGCCTCTGAATCAGCCTTCAGTGCTGGTGGGCGAACTCTAGATGACTTTAGGACCTCACTAACCCCAAGAATGGTTGAGCGTCTTGTTTGTGCTAATGATTGGCTTCGTGGAGGAAACTATGTTAGTGTTGAAGAGGACAGCGAACAAATGGCTTTGCTTGAGGAAGGTAACATAGAAAATTTTTATTTCCTTCCAAATTCTAATGTGCTTCATGATTCATACACTATTGACTGTTCTAACTGAGATCATCTATTATTTTAGAACTTGGTGACCTATCTATTTCCAAGGAAGATACTCCAGCTGCAACTCAGTAATTCAGTCCTGATCAGTGATCATTTGGAGTCTTGGACACTTGGTTTGGTGTATGCAATGCTGTTGTTGCCTGTTGGGTGCCTGCTACGGTGCTACCTGGGACTTTATATTTCTCTATTTGAATAATGAAGAACTCTTGAATCTATGTAACTGTACTCTTGAGACATGTTGATTTGTGTACTGTGTGACTACTTTGTGTAATTCTATGCAGCTGTGCTGCTGGTTATTGCTTGCTTAAGGATTTGATATATCTATAATATCATATATGATGTTGCTTGTGTTCATTTTTATGTAATTCTGTATTGTTGTGGCTGGTGGTAGTAACTTTTGGTTAATTCGGCTAAAACCGAAAACCAAAATTAAAAAACCGAAACCGAATTTTGCGGTTTTCAGTTTTTTGGAGAACCGATCGGGTGGTGAAGCCTGTAAACCGAATTTTATAGCAACCGAATAAACCGAACCGAATTGTGGGTTTAAACCGAACGCCCAGGTTGAAACCTATCAAAACATTGTGCTATTCTTCTTTCACAAACATAACTCATGCAGATGCAGGCCACTCCCTGGACACTGTAGCATATATGAGCACATACTACTCCACCACAGTACTAACATGGGCAGATACTCTGATCTCTATCATGCAGCTTCGCAAGTTGCTTCCAGAAAACAGAGGCAGCCGGCAGCCGCCCGTGTCCAAAACCATGGTCCGCGCGTATCCTCTGGCTTTATTTCATTTTCACCACCTATACTAAATAAACAAAATAAAAGTTACACCTTTACCAACGCTGATCGTACGTCAAGCATGTCCATTTGGATTAAGGGTGTGTTTAGTTTTTTTAAAAAGTTTTAAGTATACGTACACACATTTGAACATTTGAAGTATTAAACGTAAACTAATAACAAAACAAATTACAGATTCCGCCTATAAACTGCGAGACGATTTTATTAAGCCTAATTAATTCATCATTAGCAAATGTTTACTGTAGCATCACATTGTCAAATCATGGCGTAATTAGGCTAAAAAGATTTGTCTTGCAATTTACATGTAAACTGTGTAATATGGTTTTTTTCCACATTTAATGCTCTATACATGTGTCCAAACATTTGATGTGATGTTTTTGACCAAAATTTTTTAGATCTAAACAAAGCCTAAATGTAATTCTAACGCACACCAAAAGTTTCAGTCAGCTCATTCTATCCAGCACAGCAGTGCAACTAGCCGGTTGATCAGGTGGTTCGTCGTACAATACAATAGCACGCCGCAGGGCAATGGTAATATGGCATGGTATACTGGAGCAGCGGCCGCCGTCACCATCTTCACTAGCCGTAAAACGGGCACGCACGTATGGTATGGGTCATCAGCAGCCAGAAAGAAAGCAGCGGCGGCACCGAGCGATCAAGAGTCGGTCAGTCACCCAGTCACCCACGCGGCGCGATGAGCGAATACCGAGACGATAGCGACCGCACCGGATTTCATCGCGTCGACCACGGAACCAACGCAAAATCCACCGATTCGATCGGCCGTCGTCCGAGGAAGCTACCGCGTCACACTCCACAAACTCTCACACCATCGATCTCCCCTCTCCTTTTACACACGTCCGCTCCCCCCGCGCCGCCACGCTCTTCTATATAAACCAGCCGCGGCCCACGGCTCCGCTCCCCCCTCCTCAACCAAGCCCACGCGCTCGCTCGCTTTGCAAGCAAAACGCCCCAACTCTCCCGCACGCACACGCGCCCTTCCACCGACTCGTCAGCTTAGAGCACCGCAAGCGCGCAGCAGCAGCAAAGATGTGTGGCGGCGCGATCATTTCCGACTTCATCCCGCAGCGGGAAGCCCACCGCGCGGCCACCGGCAGCAAGCGTGCCCTCTGCGCCTCCGACTTCTGGCCGTCGGCGTCGCAGGAAGCCGCCGACTTCGACCACCTCACCGCCCCCTGCACCTTCACCCCCGACCAAGGTAGTAGCAGTAATAACTAGCTACCATGCATGCTATTGCTATGTGCGATCGATTAACTCGTACGCTGAGCTGATACGTGTATGCGTGTCTGTAGCGGCAGAGGAGCCGACCAAGAAGCGGGAGCGGAAGACGCTGTACCGTGGCATCAGGCGGCGGCCGTGGGGGAAGTGGGCGGCGGAGATCCGCGACCCGGCGAAGGGCGCGCGCGTCTGGCTCGGCACCTTCGCCACCGCCGAGGCGGCGGCCCGCGCCTACGACCGCGCCGCCCGCCGCATCCGCGGGGCCAAGGCCAAGGTCAACTTCCCCAACGAGGACCCGCCACTCGACGACCCGGCCGCCGACGGCCACAGCCACGGCGGCGCCGCCATCCCGTGCAGGGAGTTCATGGACTACGACGCCGTCATGGCGGGCTTCTTCCACCAGCCCTACGTCGTCGCCGACGGCGTGCCGGCCGTGCCGGCGGAGGAGGCGCCCACGGTGGCGTACGTGCACCACCACCTGCCGCCGCAGCCGCAGCAGGACGCGGGGCTGGAGCTCTGGAGCTTTGATAACATCCACACGGCCGTGCCGATGTGAGATCGATCTGATGATCATTCAGATCGATGCTAGCTCATGTGTTTTTAATTATATCTTCACAGCAGAAACAAAAAAAAGTTCAATTCAGTTTATTTTGTTGTTATACGTTTTAAAATGTTTCATTAGGTTTTCATGTTATAGGAGTGATTTATCGGATTGAACTCTCAAGTGACCGACTTCTGAGTTCTTCGTGTAAAGATGAATGCTCCAAGGAATAAAATGCAATTTGTATTTCACACTTCTTGCAGTACCACTACGAAACCGAAACATGTGCTATACTGCCCACACATTGCTCACATTATATTGGATGCAATTAACAGAGAATCAGGCTAAATCAACATTCTTTCAAAGCTCTAAATAGTGGTTCTTGGTTACATGACAGAGCTAGTTCAAGTTAGACAATTGATCAGTAGTCTCACCAGTACCCTTTTTCTAGTTCCACATCTGCATGCCGATGAAGAAAAAGTGCAATTTCACACTGACGCTGGAATATTAAGTCATCCAGCTGGTCCCAGGTCTCACATCTGAAATTTCTACCTGACTCATGGAATGCATGGTTTTGCACGAACAAGTTTCTAAGCCATTTGTTTACAACAGTTTGAAGCCATGTTTTGACGGCGGATTTAATGACTCAGAAAAATCCAGATTTTTCTGCAACTTCCAGTAGACAAACAAGCTGTTGTTTTCAGCAACTTCATATAGACATACAAACTATCAATAACGAGGTACAGCATCACAATTTGAGCATCATCGATGGATTAAAGCAGCCATGGTCAGGGCAAGGGCTAATTTTCTGTAACTCAAGTTGATCTTCAGAACGCAGTTGCCCAGCCTCATAAATAAAGGAGATTATATTCATAATGCGAGACGCCAAACAAATATCTTGAAGTGCAAAGGAGGTAAACAATTTAATTGTTCCTGTGAAGTCAGTAACACAATATTTTGACATCTAAAACAGTGTAAGTCTAGCATCCAAAACAACAGTGCAAGTCTGGCATCCAAAACAGTGATGTCTAACTGATATGAGCAGTTTGGTGTAATGGTGCCAAAGCTGCCACAACTTATACCTTGAAGCCCTTGCTGTTCCTTCTTCCTCTTGCCTTCTCAAATTTCCTTCCCTTTGAGCGAACATATGGCTTAGTGTTGCTGTGGGGAACTCCTGGAGCAGGGCCAAAGTGCTTAACAGCTTCCCTAGCGTTCTTGGGACCCCTCAGGAGGACCTATCAAGAAATATCAAAATTACACAGAACAGTTATATAACATCCAGACTTAATGCAAGAACTTTTAGCAATGGAAATACAAACTATTTATAATGGTAGGTGACAATTCTGGTAGTAATGACCCGGTGATGTCAGGTTTCTTAATGTTGTGGCTTAACAACTAGTAGACCCATTTGGTAAGTAAACGGTACCAAACAGAGCTAGCCCCACAAGTAACATGAGTTACAACCCAGTTTATATATAAAAATAATGATAGATCAGCATAATAAAATAAAGGATACCATAAATTAGACCAAAATATCTCAAAATGGCAACCGAGAGTTCCTGACTTATATAGCAACTAGATAAAACCCACGTGTTGCTGCGAAAGTTTTTTATGATAATAGTACAAGTAATATGTAAGGTAATTGGACGGTATAACTTTATACTACTTTATATAATTTTCATCTTTGACCGACTATTGAAAAAAATCTACAAACATTTAACAATTAAGATGATATGGTTTAGACCAATTTAAATTATATATAAATTAATCATTTAAAAACAAAACTAAGGTGATGTGTCTCAACGAGAGAAGGAAAAGGAGGATAATATAGATTGATCATCCAAAGGAAAAACTAAGGTGCTGCGACTTTATAAAAGAAAAGAAGGGAGATAATTTGGACCAAATATCAATCATCTAAGGGCGGTGATGTAGCTTAATGAGAGAAGAGAGAAATAGCATTAACTACATTCAGCGGGGATGAATATGGCAGAGGCAGCTAATACACTCTATCCACTATTGTATGATATATTGATGTGTATTACACCTTTTTCCAGTGTGTAGGAAATCTTACTAAATCTAAAAGTTGGTCGAAACAAGAGAAAATGAATCGTTCAAGTTTTCAAAACCAACTACTACGTGTTAAATAAGCATATACTCTATAATACCAATAGAATGGTTAAGTAATCCCCAAGCAAGCTAATTTTGGACCATTTGACACCAGGGCAGCCTTAATCGAATGCAGTGGGCTGGTAAGCCAACCATTTTAGATCTATGCACCTGTTTTATCTCCTTGGCCTTTATAAAGATACCAAGAAGAGGGTAAATAGTGCATCTGTTGTCGTCAATAATTGCAAAACCCATTCATCAATGAAATGTTATCGGATTAGCCTAGCATATCTGCACACGTCTTGATTGAAATACAGCACTAAGTATGAAAGGTTAACTTGGTCGTTGGCAACAATAAGATGCATGGATCAGAGTCGTCAGACATAATTATGTCTCAATCTTAAGTATTTACCACGCAAAAGCGACTGTCCTAATTCATACAAGTGATGAAATACCGCAAACTGTATCACCAGCAAGCAGCAGCTGAATTAAAGCTGGAGAATTATACCGTGTTCTGGCCAAGCGGGGCGCGGAGAGCGAGCTGGTCGAACGTGAGGCACTCGCCACCGGCATTGATGATCCGTGCTCTCGCGGTCTCGGTGAACCTGAGAGCAGCCACCTTCATCGCCGGCACCTCATAGATCCTCTTGTCATCTGTGACGGTGCCCACGATCACGGCGATCTGGTCCCCCTACACTCGACACGCCACACGCAGAGACCCCAATGAGTCCCCAAATCCAACTCTCTCTCTCTCTCTCTCTGAACTATTCTTACCGAAATGGCATGGCGATCAGGTACCTTCCCCTCCATGAACCTGACGAGACGGCGCATCGAGAGCGGCGGGCGGTTGGTCTTGCTCATGAAGAGCCGCTTCAGGATCACGGCGTTGAAGTGGCTCTTGGTCCTCCGCACCAGGAAGCGGTAGAGCTGGGAGGAGCAAGAACCAAAACGCACCAAATCAGAATCCCTGGGCATCATCGACCGCGAAGGATCTCACAGCACCGAGAGATCGAGGAGGAGCTGACCTTGACGATGAGCTTGAGGTAGACATCCTCGGACCTGGGCGCCGTGCGCTTGGTCTTCTTGTTCCGGCCGCCGGCGACGAGGTCGATACCCTGCGGGCGACAGATCGGTACGGCGTCAGTAAGGTCGAAGCTGCCAGGACAACGTGGACGAGAACGACGACGAGATTACCATGGTTTTCCGGCGGCGGCGGCGGCGGCGAATGGGTCGGCGGCGGCGAGGGTGTTAGGGTTTTGGAGGCGAACGTGCGCGTGTGAGTTAAGTATGGGGTAGGCAGGCCGGCTGGGTTCGGGTAGCCACGGCCCAAATCTTCAATAGATTTTGGTCCGGAACGAGATTGCCACGTACGTGCGGCCCGTAGAAGTTGGGCTGGATTTGTGCAAAATATATGGGCTGATACTAATAGGTCAGACGCCATCACGCCGAATTTTTTTCATTTTTAAATTTTTATTTTTTAATATTTACAAAAATATTATACCATCTAAAATATTTACAAAAATGTCTCCTGCCGCCCAAGTGGAGGGCGGCAAGGTGTGCGCATTTTGCACTGAGGTCCCTTGCCGCCCTCTGTAAGGGCTGCAAGGGGGTAAATGTAATTTTCACCGGCCAAAAATGTATTTTTTAGTGTTGGACGGCAGGGTCTACTTTTGTAAATATTTTCGCCGGTATAATATTTTTGTAAATATTAAAAAATAAAAATGTAAATATGAAAAAAATTCCCATCACGCCAAGATAGACTCCCTCAACCCGTGCCTGATCAGGTAGCATGATATGGCGTTGCGATCGTACATTCTCACCATTTGGTGCCACCATCCCGCTCCACCCTTCTCCCGTGCGGCACTCGCTCAAGTTACGAAAAATTGGGAACGAGAACTATTCTCAACTTGTGGAGAGTGAGAGTGAGAATGAAGATGAAGAGGATGCCAAATTTTTTTAGAGAAAAACAGGGGGGTAGGCTAATATTTCCTAACGACCCGAAATTTTGTTATTTGGAAGAGTATGGCCTATGGGGGAACTGGACGAGTCTTCTCTGACATGTGGGATGCACAAAGGTTGGGTCCACACGTCAGTGATCCACGTCCCTCTTACGTTACGTTAGAGGAGCGCGATCCGGGGGAACTGTTGGCCATGTATGTTACATAAACAGAGATATACAAGCTTTATTTGATTTATCACAAAGCACGCGCATGGATTATTTCATTACTAGCTGGCCATTACACACTAGGCAGTGTGGTACGCGTTAGACCTCATCAATTGTTAGGAGAGTAGGAGAAGGGCCCGACGTCAAAAGCAACATAAGCATCAACGGTGTCGCCGCCGTAGGATACTCCAGTTGGGACTATGTCGTCGGCTAGCTCACGGAGAACCTCCATTGTGGCGTTACTGAGTAGGTAATCTAGTCCTTGCGCAAGTCCTGGAAGCAGATCACTCGAAGATTGCAGCTGGTCGAGAATTTGACGCAGTGTATTGTCTGCAGCGGTGGCACCGAGTATTCTTGCGCCGTGAGGGACAACCGGCGCCACCAAGGTCGTCCCGCCGGCGGCGGCGGCGGCGGGGAGAGACGCGCCGCCGCTCGCCGCCGGAGGAGGAGTGATCACCGCCACTCTACCGCTGCCGCTCATCAGAGAACCCATCATCTCGCTCGATGTCACGTTCAGCAACACCACGAATTGGCCCTTGCTGTTCCTCCTGATGAAGCCTTGGTTGCCAGCAGTCGGGATTTCGTAGCTACTGATCTGCAGACGCACGGTAGCCTTCGGCAGAAGATCTGCATGCGTACGTGCAGTGCAGCATGGGTGACTGACTGATTGAAAACTACTTACACACACAATAGCTAGCATCGATTAGTTTGCTTACTGGGCAATGTGAGGCATTGCAGTGAACAGTAGACGACGCCGGCTATACTCGCCTCCGCGCCTCGCGCTACAAGGCCCGCTAGGAACAGAGTGGCCAGGACAAGCTGGCTTTTCATCACTGCCATAGTTACAAAATTTTTAGAGCTGTTCTTCTTGTGTATTAGTAATTTTATCTGGTGCCAATATATAGGCAGGCTAGACTAGAGGAGCCGGTAAATTTCTTGCACAATTTGTGTGTATGGATTGAGCACGTACGCATGCAAATTTCAACCAGCTCTGTCTGGAGTGAATTTCTATTTGGATAGCGGTGTAGCGTCCGTATACTATGTCCTAGCATGCATGTGCTCCATTAGATTTTTTTTTTCTCACCGGCCATTAACACTAGAGGTTTTTACAGTCCTTGAAAAGAGGTGGTACCAAATCCTCACCGTCCATCACACAAGATCTAACGGCTGGATAAGGTTGGTACTTGCTAGTACCGCATCTTCCTGGAGCAGGTACCAGATACCTTTTGACGGTGGGAGGGCAAAATTGGGAGTGGGGCATCGTCTGTTCACTTCACATTGTTGCCGCAAATCACGAGCGACGATTGTTCTAAAAAAATCGAGCGAGGAGTGACCCAGACGGCCATTGTTCTAAAAATGTTGGTTTTTTTTCAATTCTTTTTATAACCATTCGAGTAACATAAAAAACGAGAAGAAGAGTTTAATAATTTCTCAGGCGTAGATACTAACTGCACGTAGAGCAATTGACCATGGGACCCAGACGAACAGATCAAACGACGTAGGAGAAGCCACGCGGGAAGAAGACCATGCTGACGAGGAGCCGGAGGCCGGACTGGAGCGTCCCCGTCGCCGGGAGCGCCGCGTCGCACGTCGCCAGCGGCGTGGTCACCACCAGCGAGCAGCCGCTGGCCACGCTCGACAGCGCCGCCGTCGTGTTCATCGCCATGCGGAACCACCCCTTGCCGTCCGTCGTCGCGCTCCCCGCCGCCACCGCCGCCACGGCGTCCCCCGCGCACTGCAGCTGCACCACCGCGTCTGCCACACATCACGCACGGTGCATGCAGAGCATTAGTAGTTAGATTGAAAAATTGAGAGCGCGGCGGCGCGGAGCAGCTAGCTTAGGGTGTGTTTAGTTCGCGAATTGAAAATTTTTAGGTGTCACATTGAATGATTCATCGGATGTCAGAAAGGGTTTTCGGACACGAATGAAAAAATAAATTTTATAACTTGCCTGAAAACCGCGAGACGAATCTTTTAAGACTAATTAAGCCATCATTAACACACGTGGGTTACTGCAGAACTTATGGTTGATCAGACTAATTAGACTTAAAAAATCGTCTCACGATTTCCATGCAAACTATACAATTAGTTTTTGTTTTTATCTATATTTAATACTCCATACATGTGTCAAAGATTCGATGTGATGTTTGTGAGAAAAAAATTTGGAAACTAAAGTAAGCCTTACTTGGGAACCCGGGAGCAGAGCCCGATTTCATGGAGGTGCCGTTGTTGCACGGCACGTAGCCCATCACGACGACGTCCGCTTGTATGCGCGGTGGCTGCGCCGGCGGCGCCGCCGATGCAACCACGCTGACCACCGCGACGCCGATCACTACCAGAAGGATCTTTGATGCCATACACCAAAATTTATCTGCTAATACTCTGATGTGTTTGATCAGTCCGAGTTCTCGGTTCTTGCGTTTGTTGTGCGTGACCGATTGTTTTATATGATGTTACAAGGCCAAGGTACGATTTGATTCATAGTTAAGTGTGGTTATTCTTATCGCCTTAATTAGGTCGATTATCCACTAGGAATTAAAGTTCGTTGATATATTGTTCTTTATCCTGTGCTTCTGACGGCGAATGAACCAAGTGCATGTTGAGTAGTTAGCCACTGTGAAATTGAAATCATGTATGTTATGCATCCATTTGTTTTATTTTTCTTTTAAGAGACTTGATCTCTGTTCACCCTAACGACCAAATTCTAGAGGCCGTCGCTGGAGATTTTAGCAAACAAGTAGTGTGCGGCGAAATGATGAAAAGCAGTTCTCCACTGAGGTATGGCACACTGAACACTTGACAGTGAGATTTCACTTTGTTGGCCTTTTTTTTCTCACCACTTTGGCCTCAAAAGAAGAACCACTGAGGTATCCATACACCGCATGATGCGAAAAGAATTCTAAAGAATCAGGCAAAAAGGGTCCTTATGTCTGTTGTTTACCCCACTAAGGAATGTTTATTTCGAAGGTTGGGTTTTCCGTTTTCATAAGAGAGAACCAAGAGAAGCAAAATATCTCAATTCAGAATTATTTTTACCAATGATCGAACCCAGGCAATGGTAAAACATTTGGCAGCTCTCGACCAACCAAGCTGAACGTTCTGCACAGGAACGTTTTCTTAAGACCGAAGGAGGTTATATATCCGAAGGTTAGTAAGATAGAAAAAAAAACACAAAGGTTACGAGAGAGTTTTCCATTGACAGCCAACTTTCAAGGAAAAAAGTGCACCAAAATACCCACCTTAAAACCACGTGCCAACTGACACATACAAGCTACTGAGAGAGGAGCCGAGCACCGAACCAGTCACCGCTAAGTGAGTCCAGTCACCGTCGGGCCTATAGCAGCACCACAGAGTGAACTCTGAAAATAATGCCTCCATTAAGATTACGACGCTGGAAGACAATGCTATTGCCGGTAAAAAAACCGGATAAGGTTTTTACCCAGATATCCTTGCTAAGAGAGGGAGGAGGAGTATCTCAACAATACCCCCAAGAGGGTTACCAAGTCTGAAGGTGTAATCATTACCAGCCAGTTAAACAATACCCCCAAGAGGGTTACCAAGTCTGAAGGTGTAATCATTACCAGCCAGTTAAACACTAGGCTAGGTTTCCACTGGAACCATCAGCAATCCTGTCATCATGATCCATTTTCACTAAATGCACTCGCTATTCCACCTAGTTGGAATTTGTTTTTTCTTGAAATTTTTGGCACCAGGTCTCTCCTTGACGTCCACATTTTATACAAGTCTAGAAGTAAACATGCAATATGCTTGCCCAACGTCATATATCAAACAAAAGTATGTGATGCGCCATTTTTCTCCTTACTTCGTCCGTCCAAAAATAAACCACCATTGTATCAAATATGACACATTCGAGAGCGATGAATCTAAACACAAAATTAGGATGTGTCATATTCCATACGAGGTTAGTTTATCCTAGGACGACAGACACCGTGCCCAAATTGAAGGAGACTAACATGTATATTCAGTCGATCATTGACATTAACTTAGGTTCAGAACAAGGTAACAGTAATTTTAGACCCATACAGCATTCATCTGACCAAGAAAACATTCGCAACTCCTGCTCTAAGCAGGCCAATGAGCTTCAGCGTACAGGCGATACAGATGAGATCAGTACTACGTACTACTAGTATTCTACTAGTAGAAATTACGGTACATCCAGTTTCCATAGACAAGATAGGACCAAATCGAGATTTGCATAATGAGATGTTGTATATTAGTGGGCGTGGAAGGAGAAGCCGGCGGGGAAGAGGCGGAAGATGCCGCCGAGCAGCCTGGTGAGCGGGCCCTGCAGGTAGGAGACGAGGCTCCCCGCCGCCGGCAGGTTGGCGTCGCACTTGATCAGCGGCGTGTCCACCACCAGCTTGCACCCGCCGATGAGCATCGCCAGCCCGCTCGTCAGGTCCGCCTCCATCGCGAACGACCCGTTGCTGTTCGTCGTCGCCCCCGCCACCAGCTTCCCCGCGCACCTCAGCTCCACGTCCGCGTCTGCATGTATAACAGTAGATTCAGATCGATTACTACCACTACCTGTGTACTCTGCTTGCTGTGACGAGTGGTCGAGTGAGTGCGTACGTACTTGGGAAGGCGGGGGACGTGGCGATATCGATGAGGCTGCCGGTGTTGCAGGGCACGACGCCGGTGACGACCAGCCTGCCGAGCTTCGCGTCTGCGGCGCCGAGCACGCACGCCGCCGCGACCACGAGGAGGACGACGACCCGTGACGCCATTTGTCGGAGAAGCTTTGTGAGATCTGTGCGTCTGAGCTTTGCAAGCCAGTTGGCTTTCTGCTTCTTTAATCGCGACCTATTTATAGGCTCAGAAAGTGGTTAACTGCTGTCTCCGTTTTTACTAGTACTACTAGTAGTTTTTACCCAAGCTTAACTTGACTTTGCCCTTGATTCTGAATGTGGTTAGTTACTACGTTTGACTGATGCGAATAATGACGCCGTGTGCCACGTCGGCAGTTGTTTATAACCCACCAACTAGCAGTGCCAGTGCGACTACCTAATTAAGCTAATCTAGGTAGCATGCTTTGCAGCTTAGTGCCTGATAAGAAAACGATTGGTTAACATACCTGACATGTTCAGAGCGAGCTGATTGAGCTTTAAATAATGGACGTTTTAAGCAGTTTGTTCCAAGTCAATGCCGGTCAAAGATGAGAGACCCAAACTTCCAAAGTGCCCTCTCCACTGGCAGTCTGTCACTTTGCGAGATACTACTACTTGGCCCGTGACCGGCTGCTGTCCCGTTACATAATGTATAGTTAGAGCAAGTTTAATAATAGTATAGCTAACTACTGGCTATAAATCATCTATTATTCATTTAATAGATAACTAGCTGGGTGGCCCGCGCAATTACGCGGCTAGCACCCAAACAAAATCATATATTTTTTACTATGATTTTACTTAAAATTTATTAAATAGCTATCTCATTGTCTTTAAGTCTTTGAAAAACCAAACCTTATCATCCTCGTGTTTCTAATTATATAGCTTTTAAAAGTCATACCAGTTACTATCCCTTATGTCATCTCCTTCTTTATTTGCTTGCTCGATCTACCACTATTTCTATTCATTGTTCTCGGAACCTTTAAGAATTGGATTTTATAGTTTTTAGAGTTTATTGTCACGTTGGGTTTCATGTTTATAATTTCTAGATGTCCCGTCAAACGTTGCTATTATACTTCTCTACGGCCCGTCCAGTGTCTCTTATCTTTATTGTTATTGAGATTTTAAAATCGAATCATTGGGTTTTTTTTAGAAGTTTCGAACATTTAAAAATTGGACTTGTAGTTTCATTTTTTTATAATTTTTAGAAATCTCATCAAACGATGCCACTATGCCCCTTTACAGCCCGTCCGCCGCCTACTATTTATTGTCATTGTGATTCTAAAAATCAAACATAATTATAGTTGGAATTCATTTTTTATTTTCTAGAAGTCCCATCAACCGTCGGCGGCTCTGCAACTATACTCCTGTACATCCCGCCCGCTGCTTCTCCTTTTTATTGTCATTGAGAATTTAAAAATTGAATATGATTATCAATGTGGTTTGTTTTTTTTTTTACTTTCTAAAAGTCCCGGCAACCGCCTTACTTGTTTGCTTCACGGCCTGCCTGACGTCCCTCCTTTTAATCGTCATTAGGATTATATTTGGTGTTTTATTAACAATTTTTATATGTCGTATCAACCGCCACCACTCTACTCCTTTGTAAGCATGTTACTTAATTTATCTCGTCATGTATTTTAGATGGTCTTTTCTTTCAATAGTCATTATTTTTATCACAAATTTTAGTTATTTATAAATTGTATTCCTAATTGAAATCTTTTTTTTCTAATTTCAGAATTTTTTTTATTCGAAATTTTAATTAATCTCGTATTGGGTTTTTATATGGATTATTCTTCCAATATTGCTTATTTTTAATTTCGAATTTCATCTAATTTTAAATTGTATTCCTACATGAAATCTTCTTTTATTTTATTTTGCTAATTTTGGATTTATTTTTATTTTAATTCGAATTTTAATTAATCTCGTATTGGGTTCTTACATGGACTCTTCTTTTTAATATTTCTTATTTTTAATTCCGAATTTCAGCTATTTTTAAATTGTATTCCTACGTGGACTCTCCTTTCCTTTTCTAATTTTGGATTTTATTTTATTTTTATTTCGAATTTTGATTAATCTCGTATTGGGTTCTTATATGGAAACTTCTTTCAATATTCCTTAATTTTAATTCCGAATTTCAGCTATTTTTAAGTTGTATTTCTACTTGGACTCTCCTTTCCTTTTCTAATTTTGGATTTTATTTTATTTTTATTTTAAATTTTGATTAATCTCGTATTGGGTTCTTATATGGAAACTTTTTTCAATATTGCTTATTTTAAATTCCGAATTTCAACTATTTTTAAATTTTACTTATATTTGGACTCTCATTTTCTTTTTTTTCTTTTTCTTCGATTAATGTGGAAATTTCTAGCCTCCACAGCGAACGTGGTGCCTTCTTTTCAAACTGTCTTAATAATATAATAGATTCATATAATAGTTACCTATAAATATATAATTGGTCCCACCTATCATACGCATATGCTGCAGCTGGCTGGCTACATATATGTAGCCCACTGCTTTTCTCTCTTTTTTATCTTCTCGAAACGTGTTTATAGCTGGCTTATAGTCTGCTATTATATCTGCTCTTACGGGTACATAATGCATCATGGTCATCACTACAGACACCACATATTAGTAGTGTGACAATCTGAGATACTGAGGTCCCCATCGTTTGACTTATTTCCTAATAAGACAAAACGGCTTATTAGGAAATAAAAATGAATTTGTAGGAAACTTTTATAAATGTGTTCTTGGTGACTTAAAAGCCAATGTTGTAAAAGAAATTACGTTAAAAATATCTCAAAATTAATCTCAAAAGTAAGTTTAAAAATTCAAATTTTGACTTTTTCTTTGGCTGATTAGGCCATCCGATGGGAGCCTGATAATCCAATCAGCTTTGGATTCCTGAATACGCCGAGCTTTGTTTTGCACTCTGAAGTCTGAAATGTTGCCAGCAGCTATTGTTTTTTTCTCTCTAGAGTCCAAAGTCCAGGACAGACCAGTCTGTGCATTTGTCCACCGTGTAACCGTGATAGTATGATCCCATTGGCACCCGGCTGCTTAGAGGGGTCCAAAGCAATTGGATATATCCAAATCTATTACACTATTGCATACCGTGACCGATCGAGCTGCTCTACTGCCGCCGAGATGGGCTTGGTTCAGTTTATGTCGTGCGTTAGACCTGTTGCTCTGCTCCCCTGGGTGGAAATACCATCCTTAGGCACATCAGTGCTTCAGAAAAACATATGAAGAAAAAAATCACCATTATGGGCAGAAAATGAAGATTCCAGCATATATAACACAACACATCAGGATTCAGGCACATCCAAACATAAAAAAAAAAAGCAGGTAATTTAGAAAACACAGGAACGTATTCATTCATAAACTCTGAAGAAGTGAAGAAAGCAAAGGAAACAACTGTGTTGAAAGTTTCTAGCATTGCCAATCTTTTGCTTTGCGTTATGTATTGGAAGACATCAAGCCAGTCCATATCCAGAAGCTCCAAAAATAATAATGGCATGTATACATGCAAACAAGAATGCTAGTGACAAGAAGTTGGGAAATTTAGTTGGATTGAAAGAGCCCCTGGAATTGAAAACTAACCTGAAGAATAGTGATGGCCGAATCAGCTATACTAGTACATAACGATGGAATAAAATGCAGCGTGATTCCAGAACAAGAGAATAAAACTAGAACAAATATTTCTCATCATGCATCTGTTGTGACTACCAACAGGCCAGTCAGCTGGGAACTCCAGAGTTGGTCTACTACTACTACTACTACTTAAATTATCTGAACTACTACTCTACCAGAACAAAGGACCAAGTGTTTTACTGAACTTCTGCAATTCATTACATCAAAGATCAGGTACCACCAATACGAGATTTTATCATTCATCTTGATAGCATGCTCCCTTTGGAGGTATAGATCAGTTTGAAAAGCATATGAACCGGTGGGACTGTCGGAAAAATGTTCTCTCTCTATCTCCTCTCCTATGCTGAATTCCATCAGTAATAACCAAACAAGAAGGATGTTCACGACCGCCGTGGGCGCACCGGCACCTTCATGCTTGCATAATACTCCTACCTAGCCATCATCGCGACGACGGATGCCACCCAATTGCAGCGCCTTGTGCCAACGCAGGGCATGGGAACGGCTACGGCTATGGCGGCAGCCGGCGATGACAATGACGTTGGTGGCAGCAGAGAGTGGAATTCACACCACCAGGCACCAGCAGAGAGAGGAGAAGGAGGTGGATGCCCCACTTCAATTCACGGATGGACTATGCTGCGGTGGCAGTGGTCGGATCGGATCGGTGACGTTCCTGCCCGTGCCAGTCTGCCACCAACGTGGGGTTCGGGGTTTAAAACTCCGAACCATTGGGTATAGCCTGCGTTACTTTCATCTGCTTCAGCTTTTCTGTTTGTTTGGGCCTTCCTCCCTTAGAAAAGGACCCGACGGCCTAACACGGCACAATTTGTTGTGGACTTCTGTGGACCGAAGGGAGTATTTGGTCGGCCCAAACACAAGTCCTTTTTCCGTCTCATAGACGTGTCTGTATTTAAACGAGGGCATATGCCACAAACGTGTACAGTTGTAAAATGAGCCAAAGTTTTTTCATCTTTTAAAAAAATATTTTTCTAAAAATACATTAAGGCCCTGTTCAAACCTCCATTTTTTTAGAAAAAAACAAACAAAGGAATGGTGAGCTTTATTGATTAAGTTACAATCTTGCTGCCAAGATTACAAAACACAGGACCAAGCAAGCATGGTCACGCTAAACCGCACAATGAGCCAATAGTTTCACAAACTGAAGTTCATGAGCTACCCTATTACACTCTTTTTTTTCATATGCATCTCCCATAGACTCCCCATTGACGCTTGTAACTCGTGAAGCATATAAACAACACGTAAAATGGGACGACTTATCAGCACATCTCTAATCAAATATTAACTATTATAAATTTAAAAAATATATATTTATTTAATTTTAAAAATCCTTCATATCGATTTTTTTTATAAAACACACCGTTTAGCGATTCAGAAAATGTGTTAACAGGAAACCTCAAAGTTGTCATTTGAAGTTGTAGTTTAGAACTCACCTAAAATACGTCGATAGTATATTTCTTCCTCTGTCCCAAAATATGTTCGTTTTTTGCGCATCCCACACATACTGATACAAAACAAAAGG